GAGGGGAAACATACAATACATTGAATGCAAATACAAGGAAACTTCCTAGCAACTTCTTCACACAAATCCAAAGGAATAATGACCACTTATTGATGTCTTCTTGTTGGGGAGAAAAGAAACACAAGGGTTGTACTTGTGGGGTGGGGATTTTCGGCTATAAGTGGAGGATAGGATGTGGGAATGCAAGCCATTTCTTTGTGGGTTTTGGGGAGGTAATTTCAGCCAAGGGGAAAGGATTTAAAAGGGGAAAGGATGGGCTGTTTTGGAGGTATTTCCTGGGCAGTTTGTGGGGGAAGCAAAGGAGGGTTGATTGGTGTGGGTGTGGGCCATTGTGTCTTGGATTATAGTAGGTGTTTGTTCAGCCTAGTTGGGGAACACAATGGGGAACAAGGATGGGGTTATGACATGGGTTTGAAGGGGGATTTTGGCTGGTTATTTTCGGCCATAATAGGGAGAGAAGGGAGTGTTTGTTTAGGCTATGATTTGGGGTGGGTTTTGGCCTTTAGTGTATGAATGTAATGCAGGACAAATGTGGGGTTTAAGGGGTGTGGTGGTGTGTTGGTTTTGAGGGGGATTTTTGGCCAACCAAGGAAAAGGGTGAAGGGATACATTTGTTTGGTAAACAAAAGACTTTGAAGGATGAAAACAATATTCTAAGGTTATATTGGTCTTCTTACTTCTTATTTTCGGCCATAGGTAGAAAATAGGTCGGGAAGACTTTATTTTGAAAAACAAAACAAGGTGAAATACTTTTGGATGTTTTGGGAGAGGTTGTGTTTAGGTGGAGCCATCCAGGGGTATAACAATTTTATTCTTGCAATCTGATCCATATTTCGGTTACCTTCATTTCTGAACGTGGAAATTGGAATTACAGCCAGTTATAGTGGTATTGCTAAGTTGTTGGCTGAAATGTCCAAATAAGTATAAAATTAATGCAAAAGTATTGAGTTATTAATCATTTACATCATAGTCTTCTAGAAGCCTATATCTTTTCTGAAGAGCTAAAATTATAGGGAAAAAAGAATAATAAAAAGCTCACGGTTGATATTCAATGTTTCTTTTCCTTTCATAAGCATTTAGAGGAACACAGTACATATGACATCTAAATTCTCAATAGCCAATATGATCCTAAATTCATGAAGGATGTATAAGCGTCTTATTATATTAAATTAAATTGCACAAATGCTACATCGCCATATCATCATGAAGGGCGTATGACATTTCAAGTTATTGAAAATGTATCTGCACGGGGCACATACCAAATGAAATAGTGAAAATGTAGCACAAACTTCCCGTTGTGAAGTCTCTATTCTTTTGGAAGAGCCAAAACACTTAAAAATGTCATGGATTTAGGTAATTAAGATTCAATATTTCTTTCCATCCGTAGTCATTAAGAGGAACTTTATAAAACTGGACTTATCTAGTTTTAAAATCAGTAGAAGCAAAATTGCATTTCAACTTAGTTATTGAAATTGTTTCTGCATGGGTTATACTCTGGGAAGCTGGCTTCAGAACAGGAAGTGTGCGCTCTAATCTCACTATTTTATTAGGTGTGGCCTTCTAGAAGCCAATTGCTTTTTGTAAGAGCCAAAAGATTTCAAAATTTTTACAGGTCTAAGAAAACAACAATAAAAAAAGCTGATGTTTTAGATTCAGTATTTGATTACAAGTCCAAATTCATTTTACTTCTATAAAGTCCAAACATTGCTTTTCACTATCTAGCAGGTGGTGACTTGTTCCGTTAGACTTGTATCTCCAACATTCAACAACTTTTAGGCAACCTATGGTGCTTCATATAGATTGGTAGAATAGTAGATTAAACTTTATTCTTTTTTTTCTTACTACAGATTATTATTAAAATGTCTGCTGCAAATGGAGTTAGACGCGTCTGGGTTGGTCTAAATGGATTAATGTCTACTCCTGCTGTATCCGCTGTTATCCGTGAAAGAGTTTCGGCTGATGTACGTTCTTTCCCATAGAAATATATGTTTTTTAACTTTTGTTTCACATTTGCTCATTTATGTTCGAGTCTGCTTTCCTCTCTTGTTATGTAAAAGTTTGGTTACCATGCCCCTAACTATTTTAATATTTGTTTCTCTACTCCTGGATACAGGGATCAAAGGCAAATGGGGCATTTATATTGACAGCTAGCCACAACCCTGGTGGTCCCAATGAGGTTGGTTCCTGCAATGTTTATTCTGCTATCCACTCTTTATTTTGTGTAGGCTTTCTAAAAGTGATTAAAATACCCGAGCATGTGCTGATTGTTCCTATCATATGCTTCCAACTACAATGTTTTACTTTTTATTTCATGTGGCCGGTGGATATCTTATAGGATTTTGGAATTAAATACAACATGGAAAATGGTGGTCCTGCACCAGAAGGTATCACTAACAAGATCTATGAGAACACCACAACAATAAAGGAATACTTGATTGCAGAGGACTTGCCTGATGTATGACCTGTTACTTATTCAATGCTTTGTATATATTTTTAATTATCGTTCAGAATGTAGAAGTGTTTGTGAGTTCTCATTGTCAAATTACATTACAGGTGGACATCTCTTCAGTAGGTGTGAAAAGCTTCAGTGGACCAGAAGGACAATTTGATGTCGATGTCTTTGATTCTACTACTGACTATGTAAAATTGATGAAGTATGCCATGTTTGTCATTTAATTTGAATTTGTTGCTGCTCTTTGATAACAATATATTTTGATAAGTGGCAGTGCCCTCTGATATCTATAAATATGGTAATGCTGCACGAGTTATTATAAAGGAAAAATGTATGTTGTTTTATCAATTATCAAGTACGCTGTAGTATTTTGTCGTCATTGTTGATTGATCCTATTTGTGTAGTTTGTTGTGTTTTTCTGTTACATTTGTTGTCTAAATCTGTTGACCATAGTTTATATTTTCCCCAATTTTTAGTGTTTCTGTGGTCATAATTATTTTTGTTTGTTTCAGGTCTATATTTGATTTCCAGTGTATCCAGAAATTGCTTTCTTCTCCAAATTTTACATTTTGGTAAGTGTTTTTTTACATGTTTAGATCTGATGCTTTTATTTTTTCAGGAGAGTTCATATTTTCAGTTTAAGATTGTTTATTGGATGCTATTCCATGATTTGTGACTTAGCTATGATGCACTTCATGGTGTTGCTGGAGTTTATGCTAAACGTATATTTGTGGATGAGCTTGGTGCTGAAGAAGGGTCACTAATAAACTGTGTACCAAAGGTCATATGATCATATCTGCCTTTATTAGGAACGAATTTATACATTAAGGATTTCTTACCTGATAGGTTACTGTTCTGTTTTCTACATTATTTGATGTGAGCAGGAGGACTTCGGTGGAGGTCATCCTGATCCCAATCTGACATATGCAAAAGAGTTGGTTGCGCGTATGGGACTGTCTAAGACTCACACCGAATCAAACCCACCGGAATTTGGAGCTGCTGCTGATGGAGATGCGGACCGCAATATGATCCTTGGGAAAAGGTGATGTTTTACTAAATTACTTCATTACGGTTGGCTATTTTCTTATTCATTCTTAATTATGTATAAAATTATTTAACTATCATATGTTGCAGGTTCTTTGTGACACCCTCTGATTCTGTTGCTATAATAGCTGCTAATGCTGTTCAAGCAATCCCTTACTTTTCTGGAGGCCTAAAAGGAGTTGCCAGGTCTGCAGTTAATAATCTGAAATCCAGTGAAACTTGAACAAAGTTTATGTTTACAAAATTATTCCATGCATATTTTCTTTCACGTTACTATGCTACCACTTTTTTGCAGGAGCATGCCCACATCAGCTGCTCTAGATGTGGTGGCTAAACACCTCAATTTAAAATTTTTTGAGGTACAAATTATTTGTCTTTACCTTTTCTTTTAGTTTTACTGTATTGTGCATGTTTTGTGTGAACATGCAGAGGAAGTGTTTGGAAACCTGGGGATATGTTAGGGTGTAAATGGGGTTTGAACTTAAGACTTTTTAACTCAGTAGGACACCAAAGGTCTGGTTAAGCCTACATATTGATTACAGTTGTTTTCTCTTTTCAGGTGCCCACCGGTTGGAAGTTTTTTGGTAACTTAATGGATGCTGGACTATGCTCAGTTTGTGGTGAAGAAAGCTTTGGGACAGGTAGGAATCCTTTAGTATTTACATGATTAATGAATAACCCAACGCTATTAATGCAGGCATTGTGTTTTACTTTTGTCCTTATTTATTTATCAACAGGATCAGATCACATTCGTGAAAAGGATGGAATTTGGGCTGTTTTAGCCTGGCTGAATATTTTGGCGCATAGAAATAAGGAAAACCTAAGCGGCAAACTTGTAACAATAGAAGACATTGTTCGTCAACATTGGGCCACCTATGGACGCCACTATTATACCAGATATGACTATGAGGTAACTACCACTCCCTCTGTCCCAAAATGTTGTGCCTCTTTGAAAAGCCGTGCTCAACTTTAACTGTTATTTTCTCTTAAAATAATGCTGGCAAAATCATAAAATTTACAAATTTTGAAACTACATTTCATAATAAAAATATAACCATATAATTTTTTTTTACTTAATTGTTGAAGTTTGGCACAAACTCCCAAAATTACCTTCATTTTGGGACTTGAGGAGTATCCCTTATGATATGTCATATATAACTACTGATTTTTTGTTTTGCAAGAATGTTGATGCATCTGGTGCAAAGGAACTGATGGCTCATTTGGTTAACCTGCAATCCTCCCTTGATGAAGTTAACAAGTACCATTTTTTTATTTTCTGAGCACTTTCTTTCTGGGAATATTTAGTGTGTAGCTATTATATGGTTCACTTTTCAGTTTCTGTTTCTAACTCCATTATATTTAGAAAATTGATTGCTTAAGAATATAGGCTCTTTGCAAATTTTTGGCAATCAGCCAATCACTTTCCTTGAATAGAGATTGCGTTGAACCATGACTCCATGAGGATGCATTCAATAATAAAAGGACAGTCCTGTGCACAAAGAGGGTCGGGGGAAAGGCCCCACCAACCAAAAAAAACTGTAGTACAAAAATATAGTTAGTTAATGACATCAGATTTGGCCCTGTGTTATGGACTGAAACCATTGCAAGGTATGGGACTGTATATATGATTGTATGGTGGGATCTCCTTGCCAACTGTTTTTAATGTCTTCCAACAACGATGAGTCAATGGTAGAAAGTGCCAAGCATAATAATTCTGCTCCCGTTTGCCTCGAAAGGGCATCTGCAACTGAGTTCTCCTTTCCTTGTTTGTATTGTATTTCATATGTATACCCCATAAGCTAAGACAACCAAAATTGCTGAAATGGGGTGGATATCTTACTCTCAAGTAGCCATTTCAGACTTTTCTGATCAGTTTTGATAATAAAAGGTTGATGAATCAAGTATTGCTCCCACTTTTGTACTGCAAAGACAACTGCCAGAAGTTCTTTTTCATAGACCGACAAGGCCTGCCATCTTGTTCCCAGGGACCTACTAATAAAGGCTAGGGGGTGTTGTTCTTTCATCAACACCGCTCCAATTCCTCCTTGGGAAGCATCAGCATCAGTTTCGACTACAAAGGTTTTTGTAAAGTCGGGCAGGGCTAAAACTGGGGCCGTACAGAGAGCTTCTTTTAAAGAGTGAAAGGATGATGCAGCTTCTTCCGTCCATTGATAAGAGCCCTTTTTTAACAGGTCAGTGAGGGCTCGACTGATAGATGCGTAATTCTGGACAAATTTGCGGTAGTACCCCGCAAGTCCCAAGAAACTCCTCAATTCCTTGAGATTAGTGGGCGTAGGCCAATTTAGGATAGCCCCTATTTTCCTGGGGTCAGTGGACACCCCTTGTCCGGAGATGAAATGACCTAGGTACTCCACTTTAAGCTCCCCAAAAGAACACTTACTCCTTTTTGCCAACAATTGGTTTTGTCGCATAGTATGAAATACCTCCCTTAAATGTTTATAGTGAAGCTCCCACGTAGCGCTGTAGATGAGAATGTCATCAAAGAAAACTAACACTGATTTCCGGAGTTGGTCTTTGAAAATGTGATTAATCAAACTTTGGAATGTAGCAGGTGCATTTGTGAGTCCAAAGGGCATCACTAGAAATTCATAGTGTCCATGGTGTGTTCTGAAAGCTGTTTTGTAAATGTCCTTGGGTGCCACCCTTATTTGATGATATCCAGATCTTAAATCTATCTTGCTGAACACAGTGGCCCCGGCCAGCTCATCAATTAACTCATCCACAACTGGTATAGGAAATTTGTGTTTCACAGTCTGCTTGTTAACCTCTCTATAGTCCACACAAAGTCTCCAACTCCCATCTTTTTTTCCTACTAAGACCACTGGAGAAGCATAAGGACTTCCACTATCCTGTATAATGCCTGTCTGCTTCATTTCCTTTACTAGTTCTTCAATCACATCTTTCTGCCGTAGAGGATACCTATAAGGCCTGATGTTCACAGGGGTGGCATTTGGCTGAAGTGGTATCGCATGGTCAAAGACTCCCCTGAACGGTGGGAGTCCTTGAAAATCTTGAAACAAATCCTCATACTCTTCTAGTAGTTTTTGAAGAGGTATAGGGCAAGTTTTATTCCTTGTGTCTGCAATAGCCTCATCAGTAACTCTATCATCATCGGCAGGAATAATCTGAAGCAGACACAATTGGCTGGAAGTATTAAAGGTTTTGACCAAATTATTGGGCTTCACTTCAATCACCTGGTGTTTAAGCCCTCTCAAAATCTGTCTACTGCCTTTGTATGTGAACTCCATTTCGAGCTTGCTAAAGTCTTACTTAACTGGTCCCAAAGTACTTAGCCATTGTACACCAAGCACCACATCACACCCTCCTAGAGGAATGAGAAGCATATCAGATTTAAATGTTGTCCTGTGAAGTTTCCACTCAAATTCCCTGCATTTGAATTTACATTGCAATTGGTTCCCATCAGCCACTATAATCGATGTGGCTGCAATAGGGTCTAACCTGCATCCCAATTTCTTAGCCAAGGCAAGGTCCAAAAAGTTATGTGTACTGCCCGAATCTATGAGAATATGAAGTGGTTTCTAGCCATAGTGTCCTGTCACCCTCATTGTCTGGAATCCTTGACTGCCATTAATAGCATTAGCTGAAATGAGAGGGTTTTCTTCTTCCACTAAATAGTCAGCATCTGATTGTATCAATTCATCATCCGTATTAGCCTCACCATCCACTTCTACCAAAAATAGCTGGGTTCCCTTCCCAACACACCTGTGCCCTTTCTCAAAGGGCTTATCACAATAGTAACAAAGCCCCTTTTCCATCTTTTCTGCCCTCACTGCAGCTGGTATGAACCTTGGTTGGTTCACCACAGGAATTGCACTTGCTGGTTTAATACTAGGAGTAGCTAAAAGTCCCTTGTTGACATTGACCATTGGTTTAGTACTCCTCTCTGGCCCCTTAATGGCTTGTACAGTTTCTTCTTGGCACCTAGCATACTCAATTGCTCCTGACAGATTTTCTGGCTTCATAGCTCTCACAAATGACTTGATGTGAGGTTTGAGCCCTCCTATAAAACTGTCCAGAAAGTAGCTCACAGGAAGTGTTGTATTCTTCATCAACAAACAAGATCTCAGCTCCTCAAACCTGTCTACATAATCATCTATACTCCCAGTTTGCTGCAGTTTATTAAATTCTTCAACTACCTTCGAGCCTAGCTCGTCCTTGAATCTGGCACTTAAATCCACCACAAAATCTTCCCAAGTAATATTAACTCTACCCATCGTATAGCTATTATACCATACAGCAGCTTTGCCTATCAGATACATGGAAGCTAAATCTACTCTTCTCGTATCAGGAATTTGACATAACGAGAAATACTGAACACATTTTTTATCCAGATTCGTACGTTGGGATTAAAATAGAGCGGTTTGTGATTACCTCCCTCTGATCGTCTATGGTACTCGTTATCGTTCCCCATGGAGGTGGGCGATCCCCCATTAGCTAATGTCTTCATCTGCTCCATCATCTGTCCGAACAGTTGTTGTTCATCGATCCTTCTGTTTTGCTCTGTCATCTGTATGGTGAAGGTTTTCTGTTGATCGATTAGGGCTTTGAGGGCTTCTTCCAAAGATGCCATTTGCGCTGCTTTCCTTCTTGTCAGCGCCAGATCTGGCCTGGTCTCGTGGCTCTGATACCAGTGTTACGGAGCGTGGAGACTACTCTGAATGAGGAGAGTCTCGAGGCTTGTAACCGTAAAGAGAGAGAAAAGAAATACAGAGGGAGAGAAATATTTTGGGAAAATATTCTTAGTTCATTACAATCCAAATACCAAATATATATAGGAGCCCACATCAATGCTTACACGTAAGGAAGGGATATAAAAGGGAAATTATGAAAGGACAAAACAGTAATAAGTAGCTAATAATTGGGGAAGTCTGCATCATTTAAAAACAGTTGGCAAGGAGATCCCACCATACAATCATATATACAGTCCCATACCTTGTAACAGTGGTATCAGAGCCAACCTCGGAGTGGTGGCCCACGGAGTGGTGGCCTGGAGAAAGCCAGCCGTGACCAACGTGGCCGTGACCAACGAGGACGTTGGTCCTTAAGGAGGGGCGAATGTTATGGACTGAAACCATTGCAAGGTATGGGACTTGTCCCACATCGGTTGTATGGGCAATTGATGTGGGGTTTATAGGCCAAATGGGTTCCCTCACTTATCAGACTTGTCTTTTGGGTTGAGTTCTTCCGTTTGGCCTGTAACACCCTGTGGCCACATCTAATAGGGACTCAATGTTTGAAACCCCTGTTGGATTTCATCCGGGTAGCAGATATAATTAAAATTCCCTAACTACCACTTTTAACATTGGCTTCTCTAGTCATCACTCATCTGCTATTAAGAAGCAATATTCCGGGTAGTATATTGTATCATTGTGTTATCACATGAAACAGGTGCAAATTAACTTGTGGTTGGGATACATATACCCTTTCTCTATAATTCTTTTTTAATGATTTTCAACTCATTTGCTTAGAAGTCTTTGAATTGACATATTTGTTTTCCCTTGATATCTTAGGATTATAGCAGGAATTCGGGAAGATGTTTCGAAGGTTGTCCATGCTGATGAATTTGAGTACAAGGATCCTGTTGATGGCTCCATCTCAAGTCATCAGGGTGTCCGATATCTCTTTGAAGATGGGTCACGATTGGTAAGGGGTTCTGGTCTCAAGCATTGCCCATGGGTCATCATATCATATTCAGTAACTGGCATTCCTACTAAAATATACTAGCAGTTGCCTACAATCAATTGTTTTTTAAGTGTTCTGTTCAGGGAACATTTAGAATGTCTCAAACAGAACTGTGTTTTTCTACGATTCGGGGATATCTTAGTAGTATTAATTTGATACCATACAAAACCAGGTTTTCCGTCTCTCTGGAACTGGATCTGAGGGTGCGACCATCCGTCTGTACATTGAGCAATATGAGAATGATTCATCCAAGACCGGAAGAGAATCCCACGACGCACTTTCCCCTCTGGTTAGCTGCGATCTTTTCTACATGCCCCCATCACATCCCATCCCTCTAGTAATAATTTTTCAACTTTTGCTCTTAATTCCCTCTTTCATCTTGGCATAGGTGGAGGTTGCTCTCAAGCTGTCTAAGATGGAGGAATTCACTGGCCGATCAGCTCCGACTGTTATAACATAAGATCTTATCAGCTCTTAAGTGCGAGTGTGTTTTTTTTGTATATCCTAAACAAATACTCCATATAATAATGCGGCCACCGTTCCTTTTGCCTAATAATACAGCATGTATAAACTACACATGCAGATTTGAGGTTGTGATTCTGTCATGTTGTATGATTTGTTTGTGTATTACGATTTGAGAATCAATAAGCATTCGTCAGTTTTGTTGGTCCATGCTGTAGCTGGCTAATATAAATGGATTAAACTACGGTTATTGGGATTCTTCACTACGGCCGGTTTCTCTGTTTTAGAGTACTGCACTGAGATTGTCTATGTGGAACTAGGAATTTTTTGTTGTATGTCTATCAAACACGGATATGGGTAGAATCTCGCTCATTAATTTCTTTTAGAATATTTTAAGTAAACTCATGTATCAACGTGTTAATAATTTTAGAGGTGTTGGCACGTGATAATTATTTTAGAGTTGTATGCATAAATACTCTCGTGTTCTTCTATAAGTGGGTAATTAGTCCTTGAATTTTCAAAAGTTTTGAACTAGTTCTTGTGGTAAAAGAACTTTTGCATAATAAGTCATTTCTTTAAGAAAAAACGTGAAGCACGCAGAATCCGTTCGTTTTATGCAAAGGTATTAAGCATGCAACAGCAAAAAATTGTTTTGGAGTTTTAATTATCTAAGCTTCATCTGCAATACAAAATCATCTATTTTTGGTTCAACTATCATAACAAATTTTTTTTTGAACTGCAGTACAACGTTCTAAGTGAGTTTGTTGTTATTGTGTTCATCAAATAGCTTTATTCTAGGATAAGGTTGTGTGATATAAGAGGTGCAAAATGGCATATCTCTTCTTTTATCAATGAAGACGAGAGCAATTCTGTCAAGTTAGTTTTTTTATTTTTTTCATACTTTATTTTTGCATTGTATGCGTGTGTTCTGTGTTAGACCTGGACCTGAATTTGGTCCCGAACTGCTATCGGTGGGTTCGTTACCTGGACCAGTGCCGGCGGCACGGTGGGAGGTGAGAACTCGTACCCAAACCGGCAACCACGGTACCGATTCTGGGGAGAAGAGGGGTGTTACTGGAACTGATTCCAGTTTCTAACGGTTTGTTTTTTTTTTTTGTTTTTTTGGTTTTTGAATTAAAAAGAAAGCAAGTAGGAGGGGGGATGTCAGGTTGGTCAGAAAAGGAGCCTCCCCAAATGGCTCTGATAAGTGTTGGGGAGTGGTTGGGTGGTTGGGGGCGGGGTTATAAAAATCCTATATAAATTCCTCTTTTTTTAAAAAAAAAATTACACCTTCACAATATTCTTTCTATCTGTTCACTCTTTCTATATCTTATCCTCTAATCTCTATACATAATACTCTTACTCTTTTATTATCTTAAATATTTATATTATTTATATTGATATATGATGGATGCCTAATATTTTTTCTAGGACTATTGCTCGGCCCAGGTCCAAATATTAGTATCAGGGCCTTATAATAATGAGAAAATAATATGAAAACAGTAATGGACTGTAATTGAAAGTATTGCACAGGATATAAACTCAAATCGATGATCCTTTCCTCTATTCGGTCCACCTAGGGATCGGAATAGACTCAAGGATCGTCAGAATATCTTTTTTCTATTACTCAAGTGTTTTCTCTCTCTATTACAAAATATCCTTCCTCTCTCAATTTATTCCTATTTTTTACGAGCTCCCCAGCCACCATCTCATCAAAATATTCGCGGTGGTTGGGGAGGATATCCGGGCAATCCTCACTTTTCCCCGAAACTCATTCCTTAGCTTAATGCCGTCCACTTGAGGACAAATCTGTCAGTCCATCCCTTATTCTCTGTCTCTTGTCCAGGAATAACTGTCCGCCCTCCATTGAGAGGGCGACTTACCCTAATTCCTCTATAGGGTTCCTTTCCTTTTAGGTGGCATGCTCTTAGTGGGCTGGGATTCAGCTCATCATTAGGCCCCAATCCTATTCTTTTCCCCATCTTACCTCCTGGACCGTCTTTCTTTGCCGACCCAGTATACTTACTTTGGGCTGAGTCTTCCTCATAATGTACGGAACCTAGATTGGGCATAGGCCCAATTTATTGATATTCTCTCGATGGGCTTGGTTGCCATCACATGCCCCTTTTTTTACAAGTGATTTTTTTTAATTTTTTGACTGTAGTATGCCTTGCATCTTCATATTGGGAAAGTTTTTTATTCTCTTCTTGTGAAAGATTCCTTCTTCTATGGGAAAAACCACTTTCTGAATAGTTACTCTACATTCACTCCTGAGGATGTTCCCCAATGATGCATCCTTTGTGGGCCACATTTAAATAATTTGTATCCTTTGTGGGCCACAGGTAAATAATTTGTGTGAGTGGGATGTTTGTACTCACATCCTTCCCCTTGGACCGTAGTGCGTGTGGGCCATTGCATGACTGTTTGGAATGCGAAGGGTCAGTGGACCGTCTGACTCCTGTGCCCATTTAAGGTTCCGGCCCGACTTCAATAATAGTGAATCGTTGGCATGGGGAAAGATTTAGTTGTGGACCGCTTCGTATTTGTGTCCACTTAAATGTCATTGCCACACCACAATAAGTGGACCGCTGACCTAGGATATTCTGTTTGGAGTCCTTTCATTAACACAATCGGACCTTTTCTCTTCTCCTCTTTTCCCTTCTATATATTCGGTCGATCCTCCCTCTTCTCCTCCTCACCTTATCTTTTCCAGGAACTAAAAAATTCTCGCCTCATACCTTCCTCTCGGCCTTCTTTTTCTCATCTCCATCTCCAAATTGAAGAAAGTCATCTCTAAGGCTTCCAAGCTCTTCAATGGCAGCAAGAAGTCCAAGGAGGATGAGAATGCCTCCTCCATCACCGCCGCACAACTGAGGGAGATGAGGGCGATGATTTCCCGCAATTATGAAGTTTGGGAGGCTGAGGAAACTACAGTGGAGCGCAACCAGAATTCTTCCTGGGCCGATGCCACAAGAAAGGCATCCAGCCTACTTTAGAATTCTTCCTCTCCTTCTTCCATCCCCATAAATATGACAATGAAACGGGAAGGGGGTACTGTTGGGAAAAATATTATAGATTTTGATGATGATGTATTTAGAATGTAATAGGGACTTTAGGTCACCCCCAATACTCCATGTAATTTTCTTTTTAGAAATATTGTTAAAAACGAGTTCTTGAGATTTCCAATAAAACTTGTGATATTTCACTTTGTGGTTTGATGTTACTCTTTGAAGACTTAACAAATCCAGTGATACGGAAATTGGAATTCTTGCTCGAAAATGTCAGAGACAAGTAAGGAATTCTCAAATCAGTTGGTTACTTTGAAGATTCTCAAATTCAGAATACTCTATGATACCCGGATGTCTCACAACAACCCGCTGAAGGCTAAGTCATCCGGGTCAGAAGACTAGCACGGATTTCTTTCTCACCCAGAAGTCTAAGAAAGACTAATCCGGAAGTGTCAGCTAAAGAACCGGATGTCTTAAAGAAGATCGGAACTCTCAGAAGCAGACTAGTGTCAAAAGACATAGAAAAATATTCATGTCATGAATGAAGAAATTCTACCCGTTGGTAAGGAAAAATCAATTTCTTGATTTTCAACGGCTAGATTGAGGATAATTAAGCTGATTCAAGAACAAATGACATGAAGACAAAGTCTGGACTTCTCAAATTGAAGAGCTCGCCCAGAATTCTCAAACAAACACAAGAAGACAAACTAGGTACTCCACTCAATAAAGAGCTACAGTCCAGAATTCTTGAACAGCAGTTAGAGGACAGATTCTGTGAAAAAGGAGGAATCCTTCTTCAAACAATTGGGTATGTCCAAATACCCATTCCAATGAAGAATCTTCAATCTCACTCTTCGTTCAAATTGAAGCCAGCAAATGCAACGAATAGTCTATTCCCTTCAACGGATAGATTATCACCCAGCTATATATAGCTTCCATGGAAGACTGGAGAAACAACCACGTGAACAACGAACATAGCAATCAACTAACAAAGCTATCTCATTCACAGTTAGCCAAAAAACTTGATAAAGAGAGATTTCTAAAACTCCTTATCTAGAAGCAAACTCTTCCTACTTCCAAAGAGCTATAGTGTAAACACTTGAAGATTTCCTTGCCTCAAGTACTACACCACATTGAAGGATACAACTTTTAATCAAACTTCTTGATTAAAACGGGGCACATCAACTTTTTACAAGTTGATCTTACAAGTCCTATTGTTCGGACCTTGTAGTTGTTGAAGAAGCGTGACCTTCGAAGGAACAACAAAGCCAGCACGAGTGCAGTAGCAATATTGGCATTGAGAAGATATTGTGAAAGAAGAATGTCGTATTCGACTCAATGCTTCAATTGATGTTGCTAGAATTTTGTTGCATCAAGGCTTACCTTTTCGTGGTCATGATGAGTCTGAAGATTTAGAGAATAGGGGAAACTTCCTTGAACTTCTGAAGTATACTGGTAAACAAAATGATCAAGCAAGAAATGTTATACTAAAAAATGCTCCCAAAAACCATCAAATGATTGCACTAGATATTCAAAAAGACATTGTTCATTGTTTTTGCAAAGAAATTGTTAATATTATCATTGAAGATATTGGTCATGATTTTTTTGGATTATTGGTTGATGAGTCAAGTGATATTTCCAATAAAGAACAAATGTCTGTTGTCTTACGATATGTTGATAAACATGGACTAGTGAAAGAAAGATTTGTTGGTATTGTTCATGTTAAAGAGACATCTGCTCAGTCTCTAACAGATGCCATTGATATGCTATTTGCTAAATATGGGTTGACTCTATCCAAGGTTCGAGGGCAAGGTTGTGATGGAGCTAGCAATATGCGACGTGAGTTTAAAAGTTTGAAAACTTTGATTTTGAAAGAAAGTAAATCAGCCTACTACATTCACTGTTTTGCTCATCAACTTCAACTGGCACTTGTATCTATGGCTAAAAAATCTTGATGTGGTTGATTTTTTTAACATGATCAGCACTTTAATGAATGTTGTTGGAGCTTCTTGTAAGCGTCGAGATATGATTCGAGAACATAATATGCTTAAGATTAAGGAAGATTTGATTAATGGTGTGTTTGAAACTGGGAGAGGACTAAACCAAGAACTTAGCCTAAAGAGGCCAGAAGATACACGGTGGGGGTCTCATTACAAGTCACTTCTGAATTTGTTCAAATTATATGAATCTATGATTGAAGTGCTTCAATATGTCAGAGATGAGGGCATGGATACAATAAAAAGATCT